TAGTGGGATTGACCGTCACATTATAAAGCCCCCATGGCTGAAAGGGCGAGCATGTTTGGTGGGGACGGGGATTCGAACCCGCGACCCTCAGATTGCGAGTCGAGCGCCCTAACCACCTGGCCATGCCGGGCCCATTTTTCTCAGCTTCTTCAGGAGCGTTTCGCTAAAACACAAACCGTAATTGACAGTAAAAAGCTTTAAGCAAACTTTAAGAAGCTTTAAAGCGAAACGTTGAGTGTCTAATTAAAGAAAAATAACAAATGTTCGTGTTATAAGGTCGTTTATTTCTGGCATTAAAACACCCTCTTTGGTTCACAACTTTCTAACTGATAGAAAGTCTATCACCAGGGGTCAGAAGTTAGGAAAAAAACAACGCAAGCTTTCTAATCTCTGACAAATGACTGTAAGTCCAAAAACTACAGACCAAATAAACCTTTTTGTGTCTTTCACTACATGATGTACCATTCTGTACACTTTAACAACATTAAAAAACAATATCTTCCGGAGATTATCGACGAAAGAACCACTACAACTGAGCACCATACACACGTCATAAAGGGCTTGGCATGGTGTGGTGGTTAGAGGATTCGAGTCCTGTCAACAAACATGCTCGCCCTTTCAGTCGTGAGGTACTCTCACTATTCGTTGGTAAAGAGTAGCCCAAGAGTTGGCAGTGGGTGGTGTTGACTATCTGCCCTCCCTCTAATTTATCACATCAAAATTAGGGACGGCTAGCGCAGATAGTCGTCGAGTAGCTTTGCGCGAAATGAAAAACAAACATCATAAGTCCTCTCGTACTTTACCTTTATGATGAGTAAGAACAGTAAATATAAGCTCGATTGTATAGTTTCTATTTTCTTCCGAGTGGTAAAACGTTTTTCACAAGTGTCGACATCGTCATAAAATCCTTTGGATGTTTGGATACTTCAATAATTATCACAGATAAATATATGAAATAAACATACTTGCCATAAAAGAAAACTTTTTAAATTTAATTTTTCCATTGTCATTCTTTTTTGGTCTAATTTCGACACTCTCATTACCCGCCGGCCCTCTAGCGGCTCAGCGGTAAGTCTTTGGACTTATGATGCTAAAAATCGGGTTTCGATACCAGTGGTAGGCACAGCACAAATACCCCATTGTGTAGCTTTGCGCTTAACAACAAAGAAACATACTACCTGTTTTTTGTTTGTAATCACATCATTATTATCGAGCTGATACATTAAAGACGATCTTGTCAATAACTGTTTATACTTGCCATGCTGTGCACATTGTTTTTGGAGATGTAAGCGCAATGGAGTGCCTCTAAGGTAAGTTCCATGCTCGTTCTGTATTCTCAAGCCGATACTGAATCTAGCTGTTCCAGTGTTGTTCCTAATACAAGGCAAGAATACCTGGAATACTGTAAAATAAATAACCTAACTCACTTATCAATGTTTTTATACAACACGCATATCATCTACAGTTGTTTTTAGCATCATTTTTACAGTAGGTAATTATGTTTTATCACAATCTTCCGTCGTACGAAGTAATTTATATAATATTTATGCTATTTCAATTTTCATCATAAGCATCTCAATATTTTTTCACCATCTGAGCATGTATTGAATGTATTTCTATTAAGCATCTGTACTACATATGTTTTTCAAAAAATTGACTCAACTTTTCCATCACCATGAAAACTAAACAACAATTTGATAAAAAAAAGAAACTGAAAAAATTTACATGTCAGTGAAAAAAAAGATAAAATTAAATAACCTTAAAATTTTAGAAATAACTAGAAGTTTAAAAACAAATCAAACACATTAACTTAAGCTCCTCCCCCACCCACTTGTTCCAGGGTAAATGTAGAAGTTCCAGCTCTATGGTTAAACATATATATAGTTATTTACAAGTCTGTATTTGATGGCGCCTTTACTGTTCGTTATAAATAATTTTTTGAAACATATACTTGTTAACAGTAAGTAAGTTATTGTTCATATAATTTGGACTTCATTCAAAAGTCTTCATGTGAAATCTGTGTTTTCACAAATTGATCTTTCTGCAGAGAATTACGTTTATTGTTCTTCGGAAATACAATTCTTGCACTGATAATGTTTTCCTTGTATTGTTAAAATATTGTGAAGTGGATTGGCTTAGAATTATCACTGCTCTAGGATCCGTGACTTGAGCTTTACGGTGTCTGTGGTTTAATTAAGCTGCCACATAGTATCCACGATATGTGACTAAATTTAAATAAAGTGCACAGGACAGAGCTAACAGCTGAAGAATGTTTTAATTACCATCAGAAGATAGTGCTTAACATAATATCAATCTAGTTTTTGTTCTATTTACTAGCATATAGCCCATCAAAAAATGACAGGACAAGTACTACCACCCCCACCCCATAATATACCCTAACCTCACATTTCATAACTAACTGAAATACATAAATTTTACGAAATCAAGCTTGACCAACAAAGAGGCAAAAAAGTACATTCGAGGCAGTCAAACGTTGGTAAATTTCTTTGTGAGCCAATCAAAATTAAGATCATTCATGAAATGAATTCTTGGCGTATCTATAGAATAATTATTGTTACAAATCAGTTAGATTAACAACTTCTAATATTTAATAGTACTGTTTGTTGTATGTCAGTGTAACTACTTCGCAGGGTTTGGATGGATCTGTACCAAAATTGGTACAGAGGTTTGTTGGGTCCACAGGGAGATACATACAAATTTACGGTTTTGCATTTTGTGTTTTTTTTTTATGGACTAAAATAATAAGTTACATTAAAATGATTGAACGATTCAAATAAGTATTAATATTAGATAAAAAGAAAAGCTCAAGCATCTGAGGGTTTGAATTTCTTCCTTAACTAATGTAATATAAATAAATATCTCCTATATATACCTCCAGGTTTCTTTGGCACTTTTCCCTTTGTTTCGATGGAGATTGTAGGATTGCTCAATATTTCTTTGTTGTATGACAAAAGATGCTCAAAGGCGTAATAGTATTGCTACATCAAGGAAAAAGAAATACCGAAATTAGAAGGATGATCGATGCAAAAGCTTACACCAGATTCATAATTAAAACAAAAAAGCAGATTATTGCTGCCTGTCAAAATAATGGAGGCATATTCTTCTTAATACTATATATAGTAGTAGTATTTAGTAAGTAGGTTGAATAATATGGGTGTTGGGCTAAGGATTGTAGGCGTCTGTGACTTGTTGGCGATAAATTCAAAAACAAACGAACAGCGCGCACTCCACTTGTTTTCAAAATAATATAGAGATATATTCGAACTAGTTCAATGTATGTACAAGAAATTCTTTACACTGTAGAGATCATAAACACTTTATATAGTTCTCTTCTTGTTGTCAAAAGTCCACTTAGGCCTATTCAATTGCTTTAGAACTTCAGTTGACAAGCCGAACCACCTTTCTCTATTTCTGTCGCACTAGTATTCCGTGTATAATTCACTTACAGTTATAGTGTGAGATACCACAGTCGTATACTATTCTTCAAGTAATCGTCTGGTCCTCGTACTTCAGATATCGTCTGTTCCTTTTGTAAAAGTGAACACGGACTGGTTCAATTACTTTAGAACTCGCTTTGACGAAATAAACTATACTTCCTATCTCTTTTTTGGCCAGGTGGTTAGGGCGCTCGACTCGCAATCAGAGGGTCGCGGGTTCGAATCCCAATCCCACTAAACATGCTCGCCCTTTCAGCTGTGGGGGCGTTATAATGTGACGGTCAATCCCACTATTCGTTGGTAAAAGAGTAGCCCAAGAGTTGGCGGTGGGTGGTGATGACTAGCTGCCTTCTCTTTAGTCTTACACTGCTAAATTAGGGACGGCTAGCGCAGATAGCCCTCGTGTAGCTTTGCGCGAAATTCAAAAACAAACAAACAAATCCTATCTCTTTTAAGACTGTTAGTTTTCCCTCTAACATATTAATCGTTAAGCCTATATTAACGGTTAAGCTTTTCACTCCTACGGCAGTTAACTTTACGTTTAACTTTCCTTGTCCGAAGTCCTACTTCCCGTGACTTTACTTTCTCGTCTGCTCTGTCTGTCTGCTGTTCCCGCTCGTCTCATACTTTATATATTTATCACTTAATCGCCTGCTCGCCTTCTAGAAATCTCTATATTCTCTACATCAATAAATTTCACGCGACGTTTGATAACCTCAACATCAGTGAATTATAAACACAACTTCCAATAATCGTCTGCTTTTAACTCTCTTATTATAACAAAAACTAAACAATCATGAAATATTAACTCACAAAATAATTAATTAATACTACCTACGCTAAACAGTCTTTTATATCATGACACTATCCCATGCAAATAAAATAAAAAGTTCAATAATCTTTAATAAATAATATTATGGAAAAAACTAATTATAGTACAGATCAAAGTGTTTTATTTTTATTTCTAATGGAATGGACAAATTAGTGTTCAAGTACAGTACAAAAGGTTTATACATAAAAAGATAATAATTAAAAAAGAAACACTGAAAAGCGCTTTAAAAGAATTCAGTGGATAAGCAAGACCTTGCCGAGTAAAAGCGTTCGAGAGCTTCGGTCGAGTTGTGAACTTACACATACGGAGTTATCTAGAAATAAATAGTAAATATTCAGTTAAATGTTATCGTGTAACAAAGATGCACCATGTGTGCTGAAAAGATTAACAATTGATCAATACTTCTAAAATTAACTAATACAGTAAAGTAATTCGTGTGGACAGATGAACAGAAGAAATATTGAACATATTGTTACGTCTCCGTTTGTTAATTAACTTTCCGTAACTTCGTTCCGACGAAATTTTAGCGACACAAGTCCTTACTTAATAAAACTGGTTTATTCTTTCCGAATACAACTTTACGATACACTTAATTTCAACAATCGCGCTAAAACAAACGCTATAACAACTAATGTGCTCAATAATACTCTCTGACTGCAGATCAATTACTCACTGTCTACACACACATTATTATCCCGTCACGTTGTCATCCTCTTTTATATACCAGACTACCCTATATCTAGTAAATGCTAGAGCATTCGCCAAGGTACGGGATAGTTCTAGAAACGTGGCGTGACACTAGTCATGTGACTTCGCTGACGCAACAATATCGTACAATTAGGCTTAACAAAGGCATTGTGAAACAACGAAGTCGTCATGGCAAACGTAAACTTAGGCTTAACAGGGCATTTATGAAACAGCGATGTTGTCATAGTAAAATTTGATCGTGCTTGTTCAACTATGTAGCGCATAAATAACTCAGATATTATTTGGAAATGTTTTATATATTTCGTAAGACGTATATTGAAAAGTGGAGTGTTTTTTTTTCTGCATCGATGAAAGGTGAGCTTTTTTATTTCTTCCCAATTTTATAAAATCCGAGAAAACGCCTGCTTTAAGCCTTGGTCTGTGAACGATGTTTTACAAGTGAGATGACGGCCTAAATATTTTTTCTCACACCTTTCAACTTATTTAAGAACCAGTAACTGTATTTGATAATCATATGTATTATTAAACCAGTGCATTAAGTTGTTTATTTATTGTCATAATTTACAAATTTACGAAACTCGACTTATCACAACAATATATTTAACGTAATCAGTTAATAGCTGTAATTTAGAACTTTCTATTGATGGTAAACATCATTCACAATTCTCCGAGTCTTCAGAATTATACTATTTAAAACAAATGAAACACATATTTTGGTCAGTAAGCAATAAGGTGTAAATTAATATATATATACATGTTCGTTATACGTATTTAATTTTTAGTGTCTAGTGACTGATTACATAAACTCAAAGTCACTGTCAATAAATTCAAATTTTGTCAGAAATGCTTTTATGTTGTCTAATTTATAAAAGAGTTCTAAGTTCATACCTTATTTTCTCCTGACGTCCATGTGAAATTAAATGAATTAACTTCCGATGGAATAACAGGCAGATATTTTTCAAAGTTTGGGTCCAGTATATATGATAAAACAGTGCCATCTACAATTGCATATATTTCCATGGGATACCCTGCAGGAAATACAATATAAATTATTACAGATACAAAATTTAATTTCGTTAATAAACAAAACTCATAATCTGTTTAAAGCTGCTTAATCTATTCCACTGCAATAGATTCATTTTTAAAATAGCAAACGTACACTTTATGATAAGAATATTTATTTTATCAAACTATGAAACGAGAGTACAAATTACTGCCACCAGGTGTCGAAATACGGATAGTGATTTATCGAAAGATTTATAGAATGATTTATATAGGCGTAGATTAGAGAATGTAAAAAAAGTGGGCTCACTGCAAGATATAGAATACAGAATTGAATATTTCAGTCTGAACGGTATCTAATGTGCACGTGAGTTAAACGGCTAGAGCAGTTTGTATTTTTTAAAGCTACAAAGGGCTGTCTGAGCATAGCCGTCCTTCGCTTTGTTTTAAACTGTAGACTAGAAATTCTTCCTGAAGAAACTTTAGCGATACAAGTCCTTTCTCAAATAAAACTAGTTTATTCTTTCTCA